GACAAACTATAAAAGCATAAGTGACTGAAGTACCGATTGAACAGTTGCTATGACGCGCGCTGACCACCAGGGGGCAGACACTCATCACAGGAGCTGCCCCCTGGTGGTCAGTGCGCTCCCACATAGGGAGTGCTGTTCAACTGACCAATGGGCACCAGGGGCAGGGTTCATGGCTGGCGAGCACCACTGTGGCAGTGTGAGCCTCTCCCAATCGGAACTAACTGGGTGCGAGCCTGCAACAGGTGCAGTGGGGCCAGGATGAGTGGGAGCAGCAGGCAGAAACAGCAGGTGGCACTGGACTGCCAGTTTCAGCTTGATCCCCGCAGGCCACACTGAGGGACCCCACTGGTGCGCAAATCCGTGCACCGGGACTCTAGTATGTATATAAATTCTTTGGTTAATCTCTTCCTGCCACCCCTCCACCACCCCCCTTCCCTCTGAGATTCATCAATCTGTACCATGGCTTCAAGCCGCTGGTTCTATTTTACTCATCAGTTTATTTTGTTCATTCGATTCCTTGCTTGTTTATTTTGATTTTTGGATTCAATTGTTGATAGATATGTATTTATTGCCATTTTATTGTTCATATTTTGATCTTTCCCCCCCTCCTTCTTCTCCTTAAAGAATACCCTTCAAGGTGGTGAAGGCCTGGAGTGGGGGGGTGGGGAAGGCTGGAAGGGGTCAATTGGGGAAGAGAGGGGATATATGTAATACTTTCAACAAAGATTAAAAAAAAAGAAGACAACCCTTCAACATTTCATGTAATGCTGGTTTGGTCTTGATGAACTCCTTTAGCTTATTCTTGTCTGTGAAGCTCTTCTTTTATTTTTTTGAATGGGAAATGTGTACTTTTTTAATTTTTATTTTTACTGTTGAAAATATTATAAATGTCCCCTTTGTGGGGTTTTTTAAAAATATATTTTATTGATTTTTTACAGAGAGGAAGGGAGAGAGATAGTTAGAAACATCGATGAGAGAGAAACATGGATCAGCTGCCTCCTGCACACCCCCCACTGGGGATGTGCCCGCAACCAAGGTACATGCCCTTGACTGGAATCGAACCTACGACCCTTCAGTCCACAGGCTGACGCTCTATCCACCGAGCCAAACCAGCTAGGGCCCCTTTGTGGGTTTTTTTTGTCCCATTGACCCACTCCTTCCCCCCCCTCCCCTCCCAGGCTTTCACCACACTATTGGCTGTGCCCATGGGCTATGCACATATGTATATACCTGTAAGTTTCCCAGTAAATCTCTCTCTCCAATCCTCACCCCTCCTTACCCATCTCCCCTCTGAAATTTGTCAGTTTGTTCCATACTTCTAGATCTCTGGATCTAATTTGCTCCTCAGTTTATTTCGTTCATTAGATTCCACATGAGTGAGATCATGTGATACTTATCTTTCTCTGACTGGCTTATTTCACTAGGCATAATACTCTCCAGATCTATCCATGCTGCTGCAAATAAGATTTCTTTTTTTCTTTCTTTTTTTTTTTTTTACCACCATGTAGTATTACATTGTGTAAATGTACCACAGCTTTTTTTTATCCACTCATCTGCTAATGGGCATTTGGACAGTTTCCAGATCTTAGTTATTGTAAACTGTGCTGCTATGAACATAGGGGTGCATATATTCTTTCTGACTGGTGTTTCAGGTTTCTTGGATATACTGGTATTCCTAGAAGTGGGATCACTGGGTCAAATAGTAGCTCCATTTTTAATTTTTTGAGGAAACTCCATACCGTGTTCCACAGTGGCTGCATCAGTCTTCATGCCCACCAGCAGTGTACTAGGGTTCCCTTTTCTCCACATCCTTGCCAACATTTGTCATTTGTTGATGATAGCCATTCTGACAATGTGAGGTGATACTTCATTGTCATTTTAATTTGCCTCTCTCCAATGATTAGTGACTTTGAGCATTTTTTCCTATGT